AGGAAGGGGGGAGGAGACGAAGTCATATATATCGTCACAAACAGAACTGCCCGGTAAACCGTAGGCAGAGAGAGAGAAGAGGACAACAAACGAGGGGCTGTGGCAAACTGTTTCGTCGGAGTTTCACCGACTCATCAGGAGGCTGAATGTGTACTTGCTTAGCTGTACATTAGAATGGAACGGACCCCTGTATTCCGCATCTGAAGTAGCAAACAATCTTGTGAGGTAATCATCGTCTGTAGTGGGTGGCCTTGCCAAGATTGGCAAGTGATGCTGCTGTGCTGTCAACCAGAGGTCGATGTGGAATCGATTTCACTTCTTGCAAGTGGTTATTCGTGTTGCATTAGGCCAGCTGTTTGGCATTTAGTCAGCTCTACTAGCTAGCTTGCTGCTGCCCTGTCGCTTACCTGCCACTATTTATGTGATGCCGGCCGATCTTGTTGGCGTGTTGCAATTCTGGGATGCCCGCAAACTGCCCTGCCTGCGTGGATTCCGGAAGCAGAGCCCGTTTCCCCAGCGGACTGACACTGACATCCGGAGTGGCCCTCTGCGCCCAGCGCGTCAGTCCAATGTAGGACCTCTGCGCACTCCCCACTGAATGGAAAGGGGAGAGGATGTTGTTCACAGAATGATAAGGTGTTTGTTGCCGGAACACTGCCCGCACTTGTTTCACAGCGAGCCGTGTAATGTCGTCCGTCATCTTCTTTAGGTGCGCTTGCCAGTGGGGGTAGAAGAGTGTTTGATGGCCCAGCTTCTGCAGTCGGCCGGTTAAATCTGCATTCCTGCCACTGCTGCCATTCGTGTCCCATAATGGTGGCCGAGGGGGCGACTTTTCGGGTCCCCGAGCGCTCTGCAGATACGATTGTTGTTGCTCTACCTGTGGTAGGCTCACAAAGTCCATCTTCCCAAGTGCAGGCAGCTGATCTCCAGACCGCATGTCAGACCATGAACCGGCATTCCCCTGGGGACCGCAGGGAGCAACAGAAGCATACCCTGCTAGAATCTTGTTCTCCAACGCCTCCAAAAGGCTTTCTTCATCCACCTTGAAGCTGCATCCATCCATCCATCCATCCATCGGGAGGCGATTTGGAAAAAAGAGAAAGATATATAAGTTCGCATCCAGAGACACCGGCCGCGAGGCGCACACACACAGCAACACTTCTTTTTTTTTTTTTTTTTTTTGGGACAAAAGATCCAATCTATTCGCGGGGAACAACACATGCTGGGAACCGGGCCCAGCGTCCCATATAAAATGATACAAGAAATTTGGAGTACCAGGGCCATTACCTGGCTTCGGCTAAGACAATCTAAAAGTTCCAGCTAAGAACAATCTGAGAACCACGAAAAGAGTGCCGAAGAACTTTTAAGACAGTCTGAGAATTTCAGCTAAGAGCAATCTAAGAACTCAAGCCACAGTTACTAAGTCTTTTTTTTTTTTTTTTTAATGGGAACAAATCTCCAATCTATTCGTGGGGAGCAACACATTCATGATGGAAAAATTTGAAGTTATGAATGCCTCCCCAACTTAGCCTTCTGGAATTGTTGACAAGCTGTAAAAAGACTGAAAACCGGCTTTCAAGGGATGTCCCTGCCACAGCTCAGCTCTTTTAAGTTTTGAGTCATGTCCCTCCAAATCATTGTGAGTGTTTTTTTTTTTTTTTTTTTTTCCAGGAGAGGCCATGGGGTATCTTCTCTGTACTGTTCCACATTTAGTGGATGTCCCGAAGGACAAACTATTATTGTAACTGTAATTTCTGTAAACGATCAAACACACACACACACACACACACAGATATTGGTTTCCTGCCGATAATCAATTGTGAATTTGTGAGGCAGTCAATGTGAGCGGAATTTCTCTGCGCAGGGTCCAGGGGACGAGGGGACAGACCGGACACTACTAAGTCCCGACTATGCTACTATCCCATCATCTTTTTTTTTTTTTTTTTCCCTTGCAGGGGTAGACCCTAACCTTATTTTATGCATCTGATTTCATCAGGATTTGAACTTATATAATCTGTTCATTAACAGTTCGATGCGTGTACAATCCAGCCATGTGGGCCAGGTTCGCAGATCCGAAGTTTGGACCACATACATGGCCATGTCTGCCAAAGCATTGTCTCAGTTTTCAAGCAGTCGGGGGGGAAAAAAAAACTATATAGCTAGGCTACCAGAGTGGACCGGGGTCACTTGCCCGGACGGGGCAAAAAAAAAAAAAAAAAAAAAAAAAATTATGCAAGGAAGATGAGCATTAGCGAACTTCAGCAATCATACAGCATCTGCGAGGATCAGTGTCCTCGGTAGGCCTACTGGGCCCTGTCTGCAGCCTTACCCGCCCTAAGTGAAGGCGGAGGTGCCCGCCCTAAGTGAAGGCGGAGGTGCCCGCCCTAAGTGAAGGCGGGCCTGGCTTTTTGCAAGAGGCCCTCGACTGTCAATTTCATATTTGGGGTCCAGGCAGTTGCGACGCGCCAGTTGGTTGAAAGAAACACAGGCCGAGTACAGAAGACATTTCCACGGCCTACCGGGCCTTTCCAAAGAATGCAGGCCCTGGGCGTGATTCCCAGCCTCATACAGAGACAGTTGGGCGCCCAACCGAACGAGGCCCAGCAGCCCAGTAGCTGCTGCATCCAGACAGCATCCTGGGGCCTTCCGGAAGCTGCTGGGCCCAGGCCAGCCCAGCCAGGCTGCGAGAGCTGGCCAGCTCTTTTCCGTAAAGGAAAGAGCTCTGGCCAGGCAGCCTCATTCAGGCACTCGCATGCTGGCGGCAGCGCTGCTAGAGCAGATGCTCGTGGGCTGCTGCTAGCACTGGAAGGCGAGGTGCAGCACGTGCGGTCGTGCAGAGGAGGGGGGTGCTGCTAATAGCAGCGCCATAGCCCAGTCACCATAGCTGGTGGGCTTGGACTACAGTGAAGCGCAGGGGTGGTCTTCGGGTGACAGAGAGGACAGGTGTGGGTGAAGTCAGGGGATAGGTGAAGGATGATGATGATGATGATGATGTGAGGGCACGTACCTTGTATTGGCGATGGTCTGCATGGGCGGCATCTTCAAGTACTTCGSGCTGCTGCTGATGTCAACAGTTGCATTGTCTTTTTGTAGTCTGTAGTAGCTGTGTAGGAGTAGGCTGGGCGCTGAGCGCCAAGTGTGAGTGTAAGGGAACTGGACTCGTGTGTTGAGGGAGAGTGTGCTCTCCACGGACATTGGTTTTCAGTGCTACGAAACTCCATTGGTGTATTATTGGTGCAATGCTGCTATCTGGACACGGTGTGACTATTTGACTTGAAATGTGATGGTGCGATCTGGGATTGTCATCTCGCTGCTGCTTATTTTCCTTGCAATTTGGTATCGGAGCTGGTTCATATTGCGCTTCATTGGTTCTTCGCAATAGCTATTGGTGCTTCGCATGAGGTGTGGGGCAGTGATACGGCATTGGCGTTGAACATTAGGCGGCCCAGGGTTGAGTGGGCGCGCCGGGGAGCTATGTGGTGACATACGGGATGTATGCTGGATGATGAGAACTCGCTGATGTGACATATTAAGCTGAGGTGGAACTGCATTCTGCTGTTGGTTGTGCCGAAGCAAAGACCGGTCATCATAATTGCACATCAGGTTACCGGTGAGAAATCTGTGGTTGGGGGCAGCATTATAAGGTACGTTGCTCTCTTCCTTATCTACCMTCTTCATCTCTTCTTACCGTGAGGAAGTGAGTTCTGTCTTGAGAGTCCTCTTGATGTGAGGTGTCGCGAGTGCTCAACCTTGAGAGTCGACATTCTTCTCTGGTGGGAGACGGGCGAAGCCTCTGAAGGGCCCTGGACGAAGCACTCGGGTCACGGTCACCACGCCAACCCGCTGGGACTAGTACACGCATGCTTGGGCCGCAAGTCCTTGTTCTGCTGCTTGCGCAAATAGGGGTCAACTCGGGCATGGCAGCGTCTATGAGACGCTCACCAGACCGTCTATAAACATTTCTGGTTGGGGACTCGGATTGAATCCGGCTGTGATCGTCGTCCTGACTGCGACGTTAAATAATTCCTGAAGAGATGGGGGCGCTCTTAATAATCCTCCTGATCAGCCAGATCAACCGGGTGTAAGGCTCGTCGGCGTACGAGGGTAAATAAGAGTGCTGTGGCTGCCTTGCTCGACGATGACTTGAGGCACAGGGGTGGGACCGGATTGCACACCTTTAGACACGCTGCTCAACCAGATGCTCAGGGACGTTGACACAAAGTGACTACTCAAGAGGGATAAAGGGGGAGGGGGGGATTCCGGTAACTGTTCACAGTGGCAATCAACAGACAATCTGCCATCAAGCATACATCTCCAACAGGAGATGTTATTTTCTGTTTTGATTATCTAGTTGTTACAGACTTGCTGACAACTAACAGACAGCTACAGATAGACTAGACCTTTGCTGTACTGCAATCTGTTCCAGGGTAATCTAAAAATAGATGTAATATATCCTGTAGGACCTGACATTAGTTGTAATTATATCACCTAACTGTTTTGTCCCATCCGACCGAAAGTAGTTGTGTTTCATAATCRGTTGTGTGTCAAGCTWAGGTAGGATTCAGTTTGGGTTCTAGTTTAGATCACACACACTGTAGCTCATGAGTGATGCAAGCACAAGTGAGGAGGAGCTACTAGTGGACGACCGTAGGACTACTCGCGGGACTGCCCGCAGTCGACCCTTGACATTCCTGGAGTTAGGTCCAGGAGACGAGAGAAGATTGAGGAGAGAGGCTAGAGAAAGGGCAGCGGCAAGGAGAGCGAGGGCAGCTGAGGAGAGTGCTAGAGCTAGAATTACAGCTAGCATCAGTACAGCCATGGCTACCTCATCTATGACGCAACCCTCTACACAGCCCACTTCGTCAGGAGTCAGTCAGAGTGGTGCTCAGGCGGTCACTAGTCATATTGGTCATGTGCGAGTCAGCCAATCTCCTATCACGCCGGAGGACTTGGAAATCCGGCAAGCAAAAGAACTTCAGGATGAGCTACAGCGGCAGATGGACGAAGTAGTAGAAAGGAGAAGAAAAGCTATGCAACGAAAAGCTAGACTAGAGAGTAGATTGCAGGAGTTAGGCAGACTGGAAAGACTAGATGAGGCAACATTAGACCCTGCTGTTCGTGTGCTGCGAGGCGCCTTACTCTCAGTGGCGGAAGCGCAAAGCGTTCAACAGGAATTGTTGGCTGATTTGGTAGCAGGCCAGAAACAAATTCTGGCTGAACTTCGAGGCATTCGCCCGACGGCGAGGCCGCCACAGTTTGTTGTAGTTCCCCCTGTAGGTGCGGGTCTATCATCGATGCCGCAACGCACAGGGCAAACTTTCTCTCCTATGTTTGGCATGCCCTCCCCGGGTGGTTTAGGTGCAACTAGTGGTCCGGTTCATTCAGTCTCAGCCGTACCATCTACAACAGTGGTCACTACAGTCCCACTGTCCAGCCAGACTCAGGTTAGTATGCAACAGCCTGTTTCAGTGGCTATGCAGCCGCTGCAGCGAGCACCTGGGCCCATGCAGCCGATGCAGTGGATGCCCAAGATACCTCTAATGAGTCCCAAGCCTTTCTCTGGAGACAACAAGAGGGAGGAAGACTTGGACACCTGGGTGAGGACTGTGCCTACTTATGTGAGGCACAAGCTCACAAGGCCAGAACAGGAAGTTGTGGTGGCTGCCTCCTTTTTAGAAGGATCAGCAGCCCGCTGGTTGAATGGCTTGGTGCAGCAACAGGGCTACGGTCAGGATTTCGATGCCTGGGCTCAGTCTCAGACATTGGAACAGTTCGTACGGTCCGTCTACAACAGGTGGAATG